TTTCTAATCGTTCGATCTACAATTTTTTAAATGATAGGTTTATATGGAGATAAAATGTCCTGATGGCAGAGATGGTGGAAGAAGAAATTTATTTCCTGCCACTCATGAAGAAATCCATCCAAAAAATATGCTGAGTGTCGTTGGTAATTTGACACCTTGGTCCGATCATAACCAGAGTCCCCGCAATATGTATCAGTGTCAGGTGCTATACCTTACTGTCATTGTACTCCCTCTGTCCTATTATTTTGTTCCAGCTTGACTTTCAAGGCCTTCAATACAACTTTGACCATTATCATTTATAGTTCTATATAAATAAATATTTTTCCTATATTATATTTCAAAACTGCATTTTTAAAAAAAAATCTAATTGCATTGTTTTCACATTATTATCAATGTACATTTTGCCATAGCTGTTATGGCAGCACCTAGGTTATGCCCTGGTGCCCCGTTGGAAATCTGTTCTTGCCTTGGCAAGTTTGCTTAACTCAGAAAGGTGTACTTATCGTTCTTCAAAGCCAACGGGAGTGTCAACTTCCCCAAAGTCTCAACCTTAGAACGTGACTCCACATACCTTGCAAGTTGAAACCCAATCTAGTTTTTTCCTAGAAGTCAACTTCGGCTCCAGACACTACTCTCAACAGCACTGGATAGAGTTCTCGCTGGAAGCCACCTCTTCCTCGCAGATTCACTTTTTTATTAGTGACCTCTTTGTCTCTTTCCGTTCACGGGGATTAATTTTGGAATACTTTTTTTAATCCTTAGCTTAGCTGAAAGCGTTGACTGCGTTAGGGCTTAGGAAATAGATATTAGACCTTCCCTCCCCCCGCACACACACGCACCTTTTTTTTTTAAATCCACCAAGTATTGCAGAAAGTGAGAGTTAGAAGCTATTTTCAGTACTCTGCGACTTTCATAAAAAATTAATAAATAACATTTCAAAGTGTTGTTTGAAAAATGCTTTTTTTTTTTAATTATTTTATTGAGTACCCCTGGTAGTCAAGACTTGAACCGTGTTTTGGGACGGACAGAGTATATAGGGAATACTACTTTTTTCTAGTCTTATATGACATTTTTGGGTCAAATTTCAATGATTAGGGTTTCAACCTTTGATGATTCTTGTACTCTGCAGATGGCGAAACAAACTATGGGGTTCCCTTCACTGGCCATAAATTGCCGCGCTGATCAAAAGCTTTATCACCTTCAGGTCTATGAGCATTTTGAGTTTGGTCCTTGTGAAGCAATTATGATCTTAATAATCATAACATTATTTATACTTCATTACTTTTTTCTTACTTCCTATTCATGTCGACCAAATTCATTTTTTATATTAAAAATTTACAATCTGTCTTATAAAAAATGATTTCAGACCCCACAGACCCCCATTGTACGTACCGGAGCGTATGAGAAATATTGCATTGATGATTATCCTTTAGGAACAAATGCAATTGTTGCAGTTCTTGCTTATTCAGGGTAAGATTTAAGCATTTGACGTCTTGCTTATTATAAGACATGCATATCATTAAGTTTTGTCTCCAATATAACAGTTATGACATGGAGGATGCCATGGTCTTAAATAAATCATCTGTTGACCGCGGGATGTGCCATGGGCATGTATACCAGGTATTTCACTTCAAGAATCTTTCTGATCATTTTTACTATATATCAATCTCCCCTATCCCTATGCCTGGGAATGGGTCTGTAGTAAAGTTCTACAGATCTGAATCTCATGCTAATCCTTGCTACTTATCTGATTGTGTTAAGGTTCTGAAGGTCTGACTTTCCATTTTTCAGACAGAAACAATTGATTTGGCTGAACAAAGTGCAAAGTCAGATCGTGTTCAGAAAATGTTTAAGAGAAGCTATAATAAGAAGAACCCTCAGCACCTGATTGAGCGCCTGATTGATTCTGATGGACTTCCATATGTTGGCCAGGTTATCTCTCTCTCTCTCCTCCCTCCTTTTCTATCTATCTTTAAATTCACATCACCATCAATCATAAAGATTATGATCTAATGATCTGAAATATGTCACTTAATATGAAATGCAGAAGATCAATCCAAATGAGCCATATTGCAGTGTCTACAGTGACATAACAACTAATTCACAAACCATCACATTGAAGGGTACAGAATCTGTTATTGTTGACTATGTTGCTGTTGATACAAAGACCAAAAGTAATATTCAAAAGGTGGGCCAATGATCAGAATGTCTCATTTGATTCTTTATGTTCTAAGGCTATACTTTAACAGTTATAAGTTGCATTTACTTTGCTAATTTTTCATGCTTCAGGCAAACATACGTTTTCGACGTTCTAGGAATCCGATAATTGGAGACAAATTTAGCAGTAGACATGGGCAAAAGGGGGTGTGTTCACAACTATGGCCAGATATTGATATGCCTTTCTCAGCAGTTACAGGAATGAGGCCAGATCTAATAATTAATCCTCATGCATTCCCTTCAAGGATGACTATTGGAATGCTTTTGGAATCAATTGCTGCCAAGGTACAATTTACACGAATTTTTATTATCGCGTATCATCTTCTATCATCGAAAGGAATCCTGGATAGGTTTGCTGTGAAATACCGTACATAATTTTTATAGTACTTGTTCCTGAGGAGAGATAACACTCTGAAGAAGACAATTGTCTTTGTTAAAGGATTTGGGAGGACTCTGGTTTAGAATTTGGACTGCTTCAATCTCAGTGCCATCACTCTCCCAAAAAAACCTTAGTTATGTGCAATCATTTGTACATAAGTTGAACTATTTCAGATGTACCGAGGAGAGATAAGACTAGTTATGTGCATTCATTTCTATAATACTTGTTGCTGAGGAGAGATAACACTCTGAAGAAGATAATTGTCTCTGTTTAAGGGTTTGGGAGCACTCTGGTTTAGCATTTGGACTTTAATCTCAGTGCCATCACTCTCCCAAACAAACCCTAGTTATGTGCAATCATTTGTACATAAGTTGAATAATTTCAGATGTACGGTGGGCACTTGAACTTACATGTTCAAACAACTCAAATATATAGGAATGATCAATGATGGAAACAATCAGAATGAGAGTTTTTCATAATTTAGATTTTTGGAGTGCCAAATAGTTCTTTTTTCTTTGCTTTGGCGGGGGATGAGTTGATGTTTCATATCCAATGAGTGGTGCCTTGGTGCATGTTATTTGCAGGCAATATTGTTCTAATTGACCAGAGGTGTGAGTGAATTATTGATAGACTTAAGCTGTAGAGCTGAATCTGGGGGTTCTAAAGGTTTAAGACAGATAGAACTAAGACTTAATACATGCAGTGCATTTAAGCGGTATACCAACTGAGTCGAGAGTGCAGGTAAATAATGATTATCAACCCATTCCCAAAAGGGTAAGATTCAAACGTTCAGGTACCATAGTTCTATCATCCATTTTGAGGGCGGGATTGATTGGATGCCATCCATCCTTATGTTTTGAGTGCGATAAGGCGGTAAGAACAAACCCTCAAAATTGGAAGGCAGTTCTCATCAAACAGTTGTCCAATCAACCATCATGTATGGGGTACCGCAGTGTTGCTAAGTCGTCGCCGACTAGTCATCCGGTTGTTTTAGAGAGCTCGATTTGACTGTCGACTAGCGCCTAGAACTGCTATGTCACACGGAGACTGCTCGGTGACCTCGGAAATGCCGAAACGCGTCTGAGACGGCTCCAAGACTGAGAGAAGATGAAGGAGAAGAAGAAGATAGGAAGAAGACTTACATCTCTGATTCATTGTTGCCGCCATCTTCCTATGGATCTATTGCGTTTCAATGTGAAGCAGATCTGTAGTGTTTAGGCGGTTGCTTCCTCAAAACCCCTTTCTCCTTCTCTCTGTGTTATTTATGGTATAGTATAATAGGTCATAATATTTGGGCTGGTTCAAACATTAGTAGGCTTTTCTACACAAGGCCTAATTTTCTAATAAGCTTTTTAAAATATTGACTCCTAAAAATAGGCATATATATCTACTTTTTTACCGAGTACATTTTTTTAATAATAAAGTTCGCTTTTATTGAATCACAAAAAAGTTTACTTTTATTGAGAGTAACCCTATGTCATATAAAAAATAATATTTTTATATATTATTTTTGTATTGGCTAATTGTTATCTTTGCCTGAAGAGTTGAGGATATTTGTTTCTTATGTAGTCTTCGTTATGTGAGTTTATGTACTACCTTTAAACATAATTTTGTTATGGTAATGATATTTAACCGTATAAATAGATACTCCGTATATAGTTATCTTTGGTGAATGAAGAAATATATAATTTTAAACAATTTATTACTAATAGTAATTTGTCGACTAGTCCACTACGACCACTAGTCCCTTCTCCACCGACTTGACTCGACTTGTTGTATTGATAACCATGGCACACAGTCTTGGTTGGTGAAGAATACAAATGTGCAGAAGATGTGGGTGGCTTAGATGAGAATGCCAAGGTGAATATGCAATGCACCAGGATAGTCAGTGTTCAGACTTCCGATTGATAATATCCAAGATAAATTGTGAGTAGCTTTTGTGGAGTTAAAAAATACTTGCAACTGGATTGAGGTGGTTTCAGCATGTGCAGAGGAATGCTCCTCTGAAGAGGTGTGAGAGGCCTGAGGCAGGGAATTTGAGGAGGGTTAGAGGTACCAAAGAGAAGTATGAACAAGGTGATGAGACAGGGCTTGCGTTTTTTCCAACTCTACAAGGATATGACCGGAGATAGAAGTGTTTGGAGGTCAAAGATTGAAGTTGCATGCTAGGCTTAGACATGTCTTATGAGTGGCGAATTGTATAGGGATCTTAGTGTTAGCTAGAATTTGTGGAATATTTGATTTCTGACCTTTTGTTGGTAGGTCTTTGTATTCTCTCTTATTTGTCTAGTAGTTGTTTGATTGTGCTTGCATTTGTCTTTTCAGTTGGAATCGGGTGTCTTTAGGAAACGACCCCTCTACCTTTGGTAGGGGTTATGTATTTTGGGAACAACTCCTCTAGCTGAGGTAGGGGTAAGGTCTTTTCAGTTTGAGCCGTTAGGTTCACTTTTACTAGTCTTTTTCAGCTTACATCATTATATTATAAAGATCTTTTTCATTTTAGTGCACAAATGTCACATTTGTGCTTTTTTTAAAGTTTTTGTTAACAATATCATCCTTTCTGGTGTAGATGTGTGTGTAGTCTTGAGGCAAATTTCCACATTGTTGCTATGATTATCAGAAGAGTAAATTCTATAATTGGTCCTTTATAACAGGGGGGTTTCTCTATTTAGTCCTCTATTATCAAATATTACCCAAGTGGTCCTTCTTTTATTTGTACCTTTCCACAAATAGTCTTTTTTTTGATCTTCTATGTACAACCACAATTAAACTCCCGATTTTCACATTAAAGTGTTACTATTATATAGAAAAAACAGTATGTGTTAAGGTTTCCGACAAGGCAAACACAGCAAACACTTAATGTCAGTGAAAAATGCTGTTGATATCAGATGTTTACACTAGAAAGCAGTCTTAGGATCGGGTGTTAGTATCAGTATATTTTTGTGTTATCCGATTAACCAATATCAGAACACGTCACTAGACATAATGTTGACGTCAAATTATATTTTTAGCCTTTAAATTAACACCAACACAGCAGAAGATCAAAAAAAGGACCATTTGTGGAAAGGTACCCTTAAAAAAAGGACTACGGGGGTAATATTTGATAATAGAGGACTAAATATGGAAACCCCCTTGTTATAAAGGACCAATTATGGAATTTACTCTTATCAGAATCTATATTGTGTAATCGTGTATAAAATCTTATTCTAGGGAGGAGCTTTACATGGGAAGTTTGTCGATGCAACGCCATTTTCTACTATAGTTAAAAACAACAAGGGATCAAATTCTGATTCAGATTCGCTAGTTGATGATCTTGGGTCTATGCTGAGAGCCCGTGGGTTCAATTACCATGGTGTAGAGGTACTCTATAGCGGATTTTATGGGACAGAACTAACATGTGAAATATTTATTGGGCCAGTTTATTATCAAAGGCTTCGGCACATGGTTTCAGATAAGTTTCAGGTATGTTCATTTTATATTTTAAAAGCTACATATAAATAGTAGGGTTAAATTTGCTTTTAGTTCCTATAAAACAGGTAACTTTTGTTCAATTTGAAATAATAATAATAATACTAATAATAATACTGATAATAATAATGATAATAATTTATTAATGGAGTCAAAACACCTCTTGAAATTAAACAGTATAATTTTTAAAAAAAAAATAATAAATTACACCTTTTGACATAGAGTAGAATACAAAGGCTATATTAAAAATTGTAAAAAATAATCAATTATTTTCTTATATATAAAGTTGTATCTTGAATCATTAGAAAATTCTATACATGACTTTAATTCGAAACTATTTTCTCTCAAAATCAACATTTACATCTAGTTAGTGATAAATGAAAATAAAAAAAAGTACCTTTTATGGAAACCAACAAGTAAAAAACTTAAATGGAAACTGCCTAAGGAGGTACGACACTTCGTCTTCTAGATGAGAGGCAATGAGAGGTGATGAGGGGATCTGATTATTTACTCTCGCCTAAGGAAAGCCTTAGGCACTGAATATGGAAGGCGAGAGAGGTGATCGCTTAAGGAAAGCGGTTGAGGGGAGAATGGCGAACGCCTTAGGGTGTCGCCTCGCGTGACTCCCCTGAGGTGCTGCGTGCTCGCCTGGGGCTTTTCTAAACTATGAATAGAGGGTGCTTGATAAGGAGTCCATGGGGTTAAAAAATAGAAAATGACAAGAGCTTTTTGATGTATTTGTCACAGTTTTGCAAAGCTAGGTACCTAATTTTTGTGCTGCTTGAGCTGGGGGTCTGTTGGAAACAGCCTCTCTATTTTTTGTACGGGTAAGGTCTACGTACACTTAGCAAACCAAGGCTAAGACACACACCCCCCAGACCCTGCTTTTGTGGGATTCTACTGGGTTGTTTTTGTTGTTGTTGCAAAGCTAGGTACCATTATGATTGTTTTTCAAGCTTTTTAGAGATAGTTTTTCCATTGTAGTCTTTGTAGATAAGAAGATTAAATAGGAACAGATGGAGTAATAAGGGCAGGGGAAATAATAAGAAAAAAATAGAGAAATGACAAAAAGAAAATCTTAGAAAAAAACACCATTAAAAGTGACTATATTTCTCTTACTTATCGTAGAAGAAAGACTACTACTGTGTCACGCTTTGTAACGATGCCTCAAGGCATTTTGCAATGAGGCGTACACCTCAGGCCAAAAAGGCACACACCTTCCAGTTCCTAGGTTTGGGCATAGCCTTCAGGGCATACTCCCTCCGTCCCGCAGTATTCGTCTTGTTTTCCTTTTTGGGCTGTCCCATGGGAAAAAAAAGGTATGAAAAGTCCATTGTGCCCTCATTGGCATTCACAATTTCACATCCCTCCCCTCTTCTAAATTTCTTTCTTTCTAGTCTTCCTCCTCCCAGTGTCTTCTTATTTTTCCGATTATTCTGTTATTTCTTTCCAATCCAATTTCTTCTCTAATTCCATTTCTTCTCAAAACCGTTTCTTCTTTTTCTGATGCTCTTTCCTCCTCCCTGTCTTCTTCTCCAATTTCATCTCCTCCGTTCCTTTTCTCCTCCTTTCACACCTTTTCTTTTTCCAACTCTCTCTCTCTCTCTCTCTCTCTCTCTCTCTCTCCTAATCTTTTCTTCTAATTAATTCTTCCCTCCTAGTCTTCTTTTCTTGTTTTTCACATCGTTTGAATCTTTTCTTCCATAGATCTAAAAACATATTTCTTCTTCTTCCATAGATCTGAGCAGCTCAAGAGCACAAATATCATAACCATCTATTATTTTTCTTTAAGATTGGATGTGTGGAAGGAAGGTGGGGGTGGATGGAGTAATAAGGGCAGGGGAAATAATAAGAAATAAATAGAGAAATGACAAAATGAAAATCCTTGAAAAAAACACCAATAAAAGTGACTATATTTCTCTTACTTATCGTAGAAGAAAGACTACTACTGTGTCACGCTTGGTATCGATGCCTCAAGGCATTTTGCAATGAGGCGTACACCTCAGGCCAAAAAGGCACACACCTTCCAATTCCTAGGTTTGGGCATAGCCTTCAGGGCATACTCCCTCCGTCCGGCAGGGTTCGTCCAGTTTTCCTTTTTTGGGCTGTCCCATGGAATATAAAAAGGCATGAAAAGTCCATTGTGCCCTCATTGGCATTCACAATTTCACATCCCTCCCCTCTTCTAAATTTTCTTTCTTTCTAGTCTTCCTCCTCCCAGTGTCTTCTTATTTTTCCGATTATTCTGTTATTTCTTTCCACTCCAATTTCTTCTCTGATTCCATTTCTTAAAACCGTTTCTTCTTTTTCTGATGCTCTTTCCTCCTCCCTGTCTTCTTCTCCAATTTCATCTCCTCTGTTTTCTTCTCCGTTCCTTTTCTCCTCCTTTCATGCCTTTTCTTTTTCCATCTCTCTCTCTCTCTCTCTCCTAATCTTTTCTTCTAATTAATTCTTCCCTCCTAGTCTTGTTTTCTTGTTTTTCACATCGTTTGAATCTTTTCTTCCATAAATCTAAAAACATATTTCTTCTTCTTCCATAGATCTGAGCAGCTCAAGAGCACAAATCTCATAACCATCTATTATTTTTCTTTAAGATTGGATGTGTGGAAGGAAGCTGGGGGTGGAGCCGAGTGGCCGGTGGATATGGTGGAGGGGTGATGAAGGATTAAGAGGCCGGGGCAGTTGATAAAGTTGGGTAAGCCGGGGATAATTGCGTCATTGTACTCATCACCTTGGCATGTGTGTCATATTGAAAGTGGACAGAATATGGTCGGACGGAGGGAGTATTTTTGCCTTCATTGTGCAAAGGCATTACACAATTTCAGACATTGATTGGTAGTCCTTGTAGAGATTCGATGTTATCGTTTGAGTGTGTGTGTGTGTGTGTGCCTATATATTTGAGATTCCATATGGCTCCCTAACTTGAACCTTGCTTTCACTAAAGGTGCGCTCTACCGGAAGGGTGGACCAAGTGACTCGGCAGCCCATCAAGGGAAGAAAATACGGGGGAGGCATTCGGTTTGGGGAGATGGAACGGGACTCCCTATTGGCCCATGGGGCAGCGTATCTGTTGCACGACAGACTCCACACCAGCTCTGATCACCACATTGCAGACGTGTGCTCACTCTGTGGGAGCATCCTCACCTCCACACTCATCCAGCCGCCCCAGAAAATGCAAGAGATCGCCGGGCTCCCTCCTGCCAGAGAACCCAAGAAGATTGCCTGCGTTGCGTGCAAGACGAGTAAGGGAATGGAGACGGTCTCTATGCCTTACGTCTTCAAGTATTTGGCTGCCGAATTAGCTGCCATGAACATTAAGATGGACCTCAAGCTCAGTAATGTTGCAGGTGCTTGATATTCCCAGCCCTAGCTTCTTTGTTTTTTTTTTAATTTAAAAAAAAAAATCCAAATTCCAACTCAAACTGTTGTGCCATTTGTAATTCTTTTTTTTTGTTATAAGCAAAATGTCAATTTCAATCTTGAGATGTTTTTCTTTGGATATACCCAATATTTATTTATCTATGAGCTGATTAATAGTCCTCCCTCACTCTGCAGCTGGCAATTTTGATTCTAATTATTCGTGGAATATAGATACTTGTATTGAATTTTGAGCATCAAGAGTATATAATCAGTATAACATGTAGTGGTGGTGTTATTTATACGCTCTCATTTTCTCACTATTTGTATTACTTTTTCTATCTCGATATTATCTTTGTTGTTACCTTTGCCCCTCCGAAATTTCTTTACGTTATCTTATTAACTCTCTCTGCTGTATTATATCTAATGTCCAGTCGCTATTTAAAGTATACAGTTTTTCAGAATCTTTTCAAAAAAGTTGCAAAAGTTATAAAAACTCAAAAATGAGTCGGAAATAATTGAACGAGTTGGAAGAAAGTAAGACTAAAAAAGATCACGATATCTACACTTAGATCAGAACAAATCTTATCAAGAGAACATGCATTTAGACCATGTTCTCTTCAACCTATACATATTACTTATTACTTTTTTATTGGAATCAGTTTGGATCAGATTAGATCAAAAATATCTTTAAACATAACTATATTCATATCAAATTAGACCGGATCAGAACTTATTTTTTTCAATCTTAATTGGCCGGATTTTATCTCTTACACATTCTTATGATTGACGTGTACCTTTGTTTTATTAGTTTGCCCCTTACAATGGTTCCTTTTGATGGTGACTTCAACTGTTGGATGAAAATAGATGCATGGCGTATTTCATTGATATACTCCATACCATATTTTCTTTTTGACATGGAGAGGAGAATCATGCTTCAATTCCATTTTGGTGAGGAACGAACAACTTGCGTTGATGTTGTTCCATGTCAATGTCCCTTTAAGTTACTCCCTCCGTGCCAAATTATAATGCATGTTTACTATTCACAGAGTCAAACTTCATTCACTTTCTTTCTCAATTTTCGTTAGCAAATTGATAAAATAAAGTATTATTGTCACTACTAGTTTTGTAGATCTTTTGATGTAGTATTTTAATATATACGAGTAATTTTTATTTTTTAACTATATACCATTTGTCATATAAAATGATTTGAAAATAATTTCAGTCAAATATCATAAACCGAAACAGACATTATAAAATGGGACGGAGAGAGTATCTTTTAATTCCTCTCATTTTAAATTTGAGTATATTATTGTGTTAGATATATTTTCTAAGGTATTAGATATTTTAATTTTTTTTACAATACATACATACATATAAAACCTGGAAGCCTCACCTGAAAAGGAGGTGGACCCTATCTTATTTTTTAATAAAAAGGATGGAAGTACATAAAGAAGGAGGTGGGCAAGTCCCCAACAAGAGTCCAACCAAACCCAAAGGATTAATAACTAAATGCAGCTGATACTACACCCGTAATGTGAACCGTAACCCATAAAGAATGCTAGAAATACAAAACAAGACATTATCAAATCAAATAAAGAAAGCAACACTACAAAAAAACGCGGGATTGGCACGGCTTTTGGCACGGATCACAGTTTTAGTTTCCCGTGGCAATGCTATTAGGCACGGATTTTGGCACGAGTACGAAAGGCTGCCAATTTCGAAGCTCCAAACTGTTTGGCACGGAAATCACGTCCGTGCCAACGATAGAGACGGCGTCGCTTGTAACAAATTTGTTCCAAAGTAACGGTTGCAAGAACACCGAGCTGCGGTTATAACTTGTTGTGTTGTTTACCACTTGCTTGCTGGCCATTTAATTTTGAGTCATTCTTTTTCTTTTTCTTCTTCTTGCTTTTACCTCCTCCCTTAAATGTGAAGTCATCAAGAATGTGAGCGTATTCAAGGTCCTGCTCAATCATACCTATTTCTTCAATGGACAGGGTTCTCATGACATTACCCGACAATGTCATGGGATGACCCAATGGCGCTCCAGTGCCCCGTAGGTAAAATTGAAGGTTCCTACCCCCTAACCCCTCACTCCGCCCCGACCAGAACACACCCCCACCCCTTTTAATTGCACCCCACAAGTTGATTTTGATTTTGACTCCAAAGTCGAAATCAACTTGTGGGGTACAATTGAAGGGGGTGGGGGGTGTGTTCGGGTTGGGGCGGGGTGGGGGGTTTACCGGGGGGTTAGGGGGTAGGAACCATCAAGTTTACGAACGGGCACCGGAGCGCCCCGGGTCTTCCCATGACATTGTCGGGCAATGTCATGGGAACTTTGGTGTTCTTCAATAACCACATCTTCACCCTCCTCCTCTTGCATCTTACGTTCCTCTCTTGGAGAAGTTCCTCATCTAGAGTGCTCACCCACAATGGCTTATCCTCAAGTTTGATTGGTATACTCATGTCCAAATCCATGAGGCTTAGGGGCTGAATCATGTTGAAGCCTCTGCCATCTGCGAAGGAGAGTGACTAGGTCCTTTTTTTAAACACTTTAGGCCTCAACTTTTTTTGTTAAAACAAAATTTGTGATAAAGCAAAGTACTAACACAAATGTATTGGGTATTTCATTTAATAGAATAAACTTTAAAATTGTTCAATAGAAGGTAAAGTACATATACAAACATACTAAAATATAATGAAAAAGAAATATACTAGGCGTACACCATTGATATACACCACTTGACAGACACACACAGAAAGTAAATATCTATGTGATAAACTGTATATTTAAAAATGAAATAAAAGATTAATTATTAAGAATAAAGTGAAGATGAATACAACAGAACATTAAGAGTTTATTTTGTATTATTTATATTTATTGGATTATGTAGCCCGTAGAGTATATTGGGCCCCTGGCCTATGTAACTTGTATTTATTTTCTTGAGTTGTGAATAATGAAGCCACGAAATTTTCAAAATTCTACATAAAATATATGTAAAGAGAATTGTTTTTTAAAAAGGAAGGAGAGAGATGTGATGAGATCATGTGATTCACAACATATATTCCGTAAGGATAGACGGTATGAATGAAGTAAAATACTTTTGGTACCAAAATTTAATTATGTGGCAATTTGGTATATTGGGTAACACTAACCCTCTCTTTTGGCACCAAATAGAAAAGTCTACATTGTTGTGGACTGTGGAGTATAATGTTTCCTTTTCTCCTCTCTTTAATTGTGAATATTTTTAGAAATGTTTAAATTAATAACTACAACCTATATATACAAACAACCATATATTTCTTTCATCCTTGTAAATATTTTACTCGAAAGAAAAGTAAATAGAGACATTTTTATATGTGTCATTTTCTATTGGCTATTATAATTTCTTATGTATTATCGTATTTGTGTTTTGAGGTGTGTTTAAAAATAATTGTGAACTTTTACTTCAATTAAACACAATTTTAAGTGTTTGCAAGTTAATTTTAGATTACGAATTATGACTTTAAAAGTATAAATTCTACTGTACAAGTACTTTTCACTAAAGTTTGAAATAACTGCATTCTACTTCTGATTTTGCACTTTGCGTTTCTAAAACTCTCCATAGTCACAATCACCTTAGCTTCTTAATCAGTTTTATTTTGCTTTCTATTTTTAAGCACTTTTTACTATAGTTTTTAGATTTGGAAATTAACTAACATTGCAATATTATCAAATTCTTATCGTGTTAATTAAATATTTACACTTTATATTATTTTAAATATAATTGATGAGAATTAAAAATTTTAATTATTTAAAAAAAATTCTAAAAGCAATTTATAATATGAGTTTAAGGTAGTTATTTAAAAAAAAAGTAAATTCCATAAATAGTGTCTAATTATTGATAATTTCCATATTTAGTCTCTAGTTTTAAGATATTACACAAACGGTCCATAATTTTTGAAAAAATTATTCTGTAATCGCTCCTTTAGGGATTATTTACGGATTTTTTTTGTCATGTTTAGCCTAAAAGACTTTTTGTGAAATAATTTTTAAAAATTAAGGACCATTTATGTAATAGTTTAGAATTAGGGACCAAACATGAAAAATTACTTGTAATGAGAGACTATTAATGAAATTTAGTGTTTAAAAAATGATTGCGAATTAGGGTGTATGAAAGATTGAAAGATATGAAATTGTTTATCCCTAACCCTGCTTAACCCCTTCAGATTGAGCTTTCCAACACCTTTCCTTATACCATAGGCTTTTCCGCCTCCCTAGAGAAACAGTTGGAGCATCGCACGGTGAGGGGGAGGAGATGGCAGTACCAGCGAGATCTAACGGTCTGGGAGAAGAAGAGGACGACAACGGTATCTTTGTCGAAGAAGAGGAAGACGGCGGTATCATTGTCGAAGAAGAAACGGAGCTGAAACAAGTTGTCATAGCCGTCGAGCGCGGCGATGTAGAATCCCTTCGCCAATGCCTAGGTACTCCTTCCTTTTGTTTTTAACTTTTCGTTTAATTGTTTTCAGAAATGGAAAGGAAATATCAATTTGGTATCTCAGGTTTCGATTGTTCTCAGTTATTCTGTAAGCAGACAATTGTACAGTAATTTTTTTAAATGCTTGATTAACCTCAAATTTTGAATTCGTGGGGAAATTCTTTTACACTACATTTGGTTCAAGGAATTTGGAATAGAAAAGAAAAGAAAATGGTATAGAAAACATTTTTTTCTTGTTTGGTTAGTAAAGAAAAGAAAAGAGAAGTGGAAGGAAAAAACATTGGAAGGAAAGCCAAATCTCTTCCACTTTGGTTGGGAAAAGGAGAGAAAGCATTTCCTTCCTAGTTCCTTGAACCAAACATAGTGTTAATGTACTGAACATGTACTCACTGAGTAACTTTAGTGTTATGACATGCAAGTAGGAAATTATAGGCAAGGACCTGAAATAGTAATCATTAAAAAACTGAGGCTGCCTTTGGTACACTTAATTCAAACCATGAAATTGGAACTGGAGACAATAATTCCAATTCCACTATTTGGTAGCACAAAAATATATGGATTTGGATTTGGTAGTGCCAAACATGAATTGGATTTGGAGAATTTAAGGTCTGTTTGGTACACGGAATTGATGGAATTGGAATTGTATTGGGAGTTGAAATTCTATGGAATTGATTTGGATGGAATTGAACTCTCCAATTCCAATTCATTTTTGGCATTACTAATTCCAAATCCACATATTTTTGTACTACCAAACAGCGGAATTGGAATTCTTGTCTCCAATTCAAATTCCATAGTTTGAATTCTGTGTACCAAACGGAATTTAGCATTATTAGTGTACTTCTGGTACGCAGTTTAGTATATCATGATGTTGTTTGGATTTGAAAGATAAACAATTTTACATCATGAGCTTCTGGGCAGTGGGCTACTGGGTAGAGGTAGACTTGGTTTCTCCTTCAGATTGTAATCCAAACCCACCATTTCTATAATTCATATAAACTTTTATTTAAAGTCTATACCTGTATAACTTAAGACATGCACACTCTATTTCAATGAAAAAATAGATCTGTACTAAATAAAATATTTTTTGAATTAAATGTGATAGCTGAATGGCAGTGCGTAACATCATTTTTAAGCCTCTATTGGCTTTGGAACTATTCTACGTAAATCGTTAATACAGTCAATGGAGAGCAGTCAATGTAAGCTGTAAATGATCTTATATAATGTGAAGGGTCAAACAGAGAATTTATGAATAAGATTGCTGGTAATGTTTTAAAATCTAGAAGTATGGTGGTAATCACATTGCATCCAATTTGTTTCTTACATATTTAATGTGATTACCTCTAGGATGAGTGAGGAGCAAACCCAACTGTGTGAATAATGTAATGAGATTACAGGTTTTGTGACCCCAACCAAACAATCCCTGAAAATTTTACTTGAATACCATGCATTTACTTTTAAACATTCTGTAAGTTTGAATTGAATGCCATCACATCTTTGAACTCTACATATTGTTTAGAAGTCCATAAATCCCATGACATTTTGTAGGAAACCAGAAAAGTGAAGTAGAAAGCCTCAAACTGAAAGTAGCCATAAACTTATAGGGTGGAAATAAGTTGCAGGTTTTTACAGTTAAAGAACTTGTTCCTATAATTGCCAAAGCAAAGCAACTCCTTAATTTCTTATTCCCATGAAGACTGCAAGCGTACCGTGTAATTCATATTGACTTATTTGCTTCATAGTTCCATCAATGTAATCAGTATGGTATTCGAGCAATTCTTTCATCGGATTGGAGTTATTGGACTCCTTGATCTTAGATGGGATTATATGAATGTATTATGTAATGCGACAATTCCTTATCCTAGCAATATGCAAGTGGTTGCCTTTTTGTATTTATGGAATTATTTTTCTACTTGTAACTGCAGCTAACTTAAGCAGCATAGATCAACCATTAGAAGATGGAGATACAGCTCTTCACCTTTCCTGTTTGTATGGCAAACTGTCATGTGTTGAGGTTGGTTTTGCACAAAAAATTACAATTGTGTAGTTGGCCAATGTTACATTTTCTATAATGATCATTGATAAATTTCTATTGAAGGGAAAACACATAACTATCAATTTATATTCTTTTCTCCCCATTCAGCTGTTGCTTGATAAGGGAGCCTCTTTGGAGGCCAAGGACGAAGACGGCGCTATTCCCTTGCATGATGCCTGTGCAGGAGGTGAGTAGAACCTTTATATGCAAATACTTTGTATTTGAATGATCTCTATTTTGGTTACCCAAAAAATGAATGATCTCAATTTTTTTTCTAAAACATTTTGACCTCACTATAAGCCACCTCTAAATTGTGATAAGTTACTACTCGTGTTCAACAAGAGATTCCTCTTTGAAAATGTCTGTTGGAAACAGTCTCCCTACTTTCAACTATGGGTAAGATCTGTGTACAGAAACCCTGCAAGACCATACTCTTGTGGGATTCAACTTGGTTGTTGTGTATTTATACCAAAGAAATCGAAGGAAGCTAATTTCTGGTCATACATCATTTTTTTGTATAAAAAGTTTCCTTGTCAAGTTGAGTGTGAAATTAAGTGAATCGAGTAAATAAATTTTTGAAATATAACTATAAATGATTACTATATCCAATAGTCACACCTTATAAAATTTGGAACATGTACATTTGTGAAAGAGTGACTCTTTATGGGATGAAACAGTACACTTTAAGAGTTTAAGCCCAATATTAAGAAACCATACCTCCACGAGTGTGTGTATGATGTTACATTGGTCAAAGGGCGTATCCGCGTATGTAATATTTTTTAAGTAATAATCCTATACTGAGTATGGATTCAACTTATACTCCATAACAGACTTGTACACTTGCATATAGCTGAAATTATAGGAATTATTGTTTAAATGTCTATATTTTTTATTAGAAGGCTACATGTTTTTATGCTTTCTTTACTCTTCTCACTACCGGATCGATAGAAATTATGTTTCTAGTTCACGTCTTCACAATCTCAGCTAGTTTCACATGATATCTTTTTTTATGCTCTCTATTAAGATTATTAGGAAGTTGATATTGTTGTTAGTTGTACATGCTGATACGTTAGTGTTTGGAAACGTTTTTGTGCCTATACATTCCTTTATAATCAGTGGCAGAGCCAGGGTATACCTTTCTTTGGGGGGGGGGCACATTGTAAACTACAGGTGTCAGGCCGTTCTGCCCCATGATTTTTTTCTAAAGACTATAAAATGACTATGAGCTCAGCTCATAATGTCTAGATATACTTCTGAATAATAATACATCTCAAGTTAGGAAAAACCCAAATCTGCTCATAAAATATAAATTAAATCTTATTAAAGATTAAACAAAAAAAAATACTTGGGCCGGAAGAGTGGGTTGTAGCTGGTCACTTGTGGGCGTGCCGCCACAGCGCTTTGGGGCAGCCTAGAGATTTGAGGATGTTTTTTTGGACATGAAATTTGAGAATTCAGTGGGTGTCTATTTTGGGAAACTATGGGAATTTGAGAAAATTTAATGTTTAGCCTGATTTTTTTTAAAAAATTTAACGGCGATGTTTTTATATGTAGACATTTGATACATTTGTGGAAGAATAGTCAAACAGAGAAGGTTGAGAATTTTACGCCGCAGGGAGGGAGGGAGGGGGGGGCACCACTTGCCAGTTGTTCCCCCCTCCTCCACCCCTGCCTTTATGCAGTTTTAACCTCTCATTTTCAATATACTTTAGTTTGGTCACCATATATTCTTATACGGAGGTTTTTTGACTGTGCAACTATGTGCAGGATTCATTGAAATAGTTCGGCTTCTTATCAATAGGGCCGATCCAGAGTGTGTAAAGAGGATGCTGGAGACAGTTGACATGGAAGGTGATACAGTAAGTCCCCATTAAGAACCTTGAAACATGAACTCAATACTAAGTACAACAAATATCATCATGCAAACACCTTGTGAAATCCTTGAAGTTCAACATCTGCACTTTTTCAACATGAAATTTCTCTGTAGCCTCTACATCATGCTGCAAGAGGTGAGCATGCACATGTTATAAAGTTGTTGCTAGATTCTGGGGCTTCTCCTACCAAGAAAAATTCATTTGGCAAGGTTAGATTGTAACGAAAAACTAATTAGATTTTGTTGCTTAGCTTTGCAAAGTCTAACTAACCATGAAATGTTTCAGATCCCTAGTGAGCTTGCTGAACCTGATTCCGAAGCTATCGAAGTCTTTGAAAGGGCTGCAAATGCAATGGCTACCTACTGAGTTTTTTGTTTGTTTGTTTGCGGAATATAATAGCACGAGCACGGCTTCTTCTTTATCTTCTTTTTTGAAATATTGACTCGAAGATTCTCATCACCATCTACATCCCCAGATGCTAATGGAAGTATGCCTAGAAGGAAGGCACTGACATTTGTTGGACAATGTGCTATCATGAATATGTATTTTTGCAATGTCCTTTGCCCATTGTCTTTTAGGTTTTGATAATGACAAAAGGGTGACAAAATATCATCATTATTTTGTGCATCAAGGCTAAGAATCAAGCTACAACAAGTTCATATCCGTCCGTGAAGAAGGGACTTGAGCATCGGTGGAAGGAACGAGACTGAAGAGATTGTTTCCTTAGTTGGGTAGTGTTTTAGGTCTTAGATTTTGTGTTAAAGAGTATGGCATCTCTAAGGTTCATTCCCTTATCATCCTACTTTTAAAACACATTTTTTTCTAGCAAACTATTCAAATAAATTGCAAAATATTCGAATAAATCCCTGAACTTCTTTTCTGACTTAGTTGAATAAATCCAGAACTAGTTGAATAAGTCTTGGTTTTTCAATCTGATTTATTCGAATAAATCACAATTTATTCGAATAAGAACTGGTTTCTCAAACCACACGATTGATCCAAACTATTCGAATAGTTCTTGAGTTGTTCGAATAAGTCGACAGTTTCAACTACCAAACGGCTAGTTTTTTGAATTCTTTTCATCTCTATCCACTCTCTAACTTCTATAAACAATCCTCTTTCGTGATTATCTTCATAAGAACACTTAGAACACTTTGAAGAACATATCCTTTGAATATCCAAAGAGATTTTACTCAATCCCCTCTTTATATCCAAGCAAGGCAATTGTTTTGATTGCTAAATCATTTCTTGCTTGAGTTTTTCCTCATTGCTTGAGTCTTTGAGAGATATTACCATATTCTAAAGGACTTCATTGTATTTGCAACAATCTACTCCGTGCTGGGAGAATTACTCGGTTGCGGTTTGTTTTCTTACTTTATTGTAAGGGATTTGTATTCTTGGTGTTGGGATTATACCAAGTGGTAGAAATCCTAACGGTTTGTGAAATCAAACGTTAGGTGGAAGAAATCCTGAGTTTTGTGAAATCAAAACTTCGGTGGTAAGATAAGAGGCTTGTGAAATCAAGTTCTCGAGTTGTATTCGGATTGTCAAACTCCGTTAAGTTTGACGTGTTAGTGAAGGCCTGGGCACGATTGCTTCGGGGACTGGATGTAGGCATTTAGGCCGAACCAGTATATATCGTGTGTGCATTGCTTTTATTGAATATTCGTGAAGAACGTTTCCGTGCAAAAAAAAAACCGGTCTTTTGGGCAACACCTCTATTCACCCCCCCCTCTAGAGGTGTGCGAGGCGTCTAACAAGTGGTATCAGAGAGAGGGATTTTCAAAGCTTTACCGCTGAAAATTTAAAAAGATCATGGCCGGAAGAATATTTCAACCCGGAGTTGCCGAAGGACAATCCACGACAAGGCCACCACTCTTCGACGGTACAAATTATGCTTATTGGAAAGAGAGGATGAGAATATTTATCCAATCAAATGATTATGATTCTTGGATGGTGATCAAACATGGAGAGACGGTTCCCACGAAGATTGTTGACGGGGTTCTTGTTCCAAAGCTAGAGACCGAATATACCTCAAATGACAAAAAGAAGATGCAACTAAATGCAAGGGCCATCAACTTTCTATATTGTGCCGTGAACCCGGATGACTATCTGAAAATCTCAAGGTGCAAGACGGCTAATGAGATGTGGAACAAATTAGAGGTCACATATGAAGGAACAAGTCAAGTGAAGGACTCCAAGATCGACTTACTCACCCATGAGTATGAGCTTTTCATGATGATGGAAAATGAAACAATAGATGGCATGTTCGAGAGATTTTCAACTATCGTCTCAAATTTGGATACACTTGGGAAGCATTATGAGGATCATGTTCTTGTTCGAAAAATCCTACGAAGTCTCACACCAGAATGGAAGTCTACGGTCAATCCTATCAAAGAAGGCCGAGATTACAATACGTTGACATATGACGCAATTCGAGGTAAACTACTCACTTATGAAATGACTAACTTTTCTAGTGCAGCGGAGATCAAAAGGGATCAAAATCTATCATTCAAAGGAGTTGCACTCAAAGCTTCATCGTCAAAATATGTCGAGACAAGCGGCTCTGGAGAAAGTGACATTCTCGAGTTATTTAATGACTTCTTACAAAATGAGCTTGAGCAATTGAATGAGAGTAGAAAGCCTACTTGGATACCTACACCTCTCGCACCTGTATAGTTCCCAGTAACGGGAGTAGCTTTTTAGTTCTTCAGGTTTGCAGCTTTCGTTAGGTTGAGATCAAGGAGAAGGAGTAGGCTACTACTTCAAGCCATTTGTCTTATGGCTCAAAGTGAATCCGAAGAGGTAAGTTCTTCTAACGATCCTTTTAGTTTTGAAGAACTACAAGAAACATTTGGTGATTTATTTAAAGAATTTTAGAAAGTCTCATCTATTGCCAAGGATTTGGAATATAAAATCACCCTTTTGCAAAAGAAAAATAATATTTTGCAAAAAGAAATTGATTCCCTCAAAATTGAAAATAAGACTTTTGAGGAGACTAATTTGAAATTAAGTGATTCACCTTGTTCTTCATGTAAGTCTTCTAGTCTTGAGATAGAAGCGCTTAAGAAAGAGGTAGACGATTTGAAATTAGCAATGAAGAAAGTTGAAAATGAATTTAGACTAAAATCTACCTCTAGGATTAAATACTATAGCTCACCTAGAAATAAACTAAGTCATTCTAAGAATTCTAAGTTTGATAGACAACCTAGAAAGCACATCACACGTCCTAGAAACATGAACAATCCTAGTGTTAAGTGTCATTATTGTAATAAAGTAGGACACATCACACCGGTTTGTTATACTAAGTATAGGCACTTGCTTCTAAGTCAAGATAATGTAATGCATCGTTCATATGATTTTTATTATTGCCATAACACCCCTGGACCCAAAAGGCATTGGGTACCAAGATTTGATTCGTAGATTCATTAAGGAAGGTGTGCTTGAACACTTCGACTTGAGTTGAAGTAGATGCGCCAAGCACATAATTGGGTGAAGCATCAATTAAGGGGGAAGTTGATTTACTTTATTAATTTCAACTAATGTTGATTTATATTTTAGTTGGACAATGTGATATTATTTGTTTGTTTGATAACTATTTGCATGAGCATATATCTTTTTTCCCATCTCTTTTTGATAATGTCAAAAGGGGGAAGATGGTGTAGATATGCATATATTCAGGGGGAATTGTATTTGTGCATATCTTAATGGGAAAGATAGTATAGATTTGTATGTCTTTGTTTGATTTATGATGCAATACTTGAGGGGAAACTAGCCTTGTATGATGCATATCTCCTAATGGGTTTTGTCATTATCAAAAAGGGGGAAATTGTTGGACAATGTGCTATCATGAATATGTATTTTTGCAATGTCCTTTGCCCATTGTCTTTTAGGTTTTGATAATGACAAAAGGGTGACAAAATATCATCATTATTTTGTGCATCAAGGCTAAGAATCAAGCTACAACAAGTTCATATCCGTCCGTGAAGAAGGGACTTGAGTATCGGTGGAAGGAACGAGACTGAAGAGATTGTTTCCTTAGTTGGGTAGTGTTTTAGGTCTTAGATTTTGTGTTAAAGAGTATGGCATCTCTAAGGTTCATTCCCTTATCATCCTACCTTTAAAACACATTTTTTTTCTAGCAAACTATTCGAATAAATTGCAAAATATTCGAATAAATCCCTGAACTTCTTTTCTGACTTAGTTGAATAAATCCAGAACTAGTTGAATAAGTCTTGGTTTTTCAATCTGATTTATTCGAATAAATCACAATTTATTCGAATAAGAACTGGTTTCTCAAACCACACGATTGATCCAAACTATTCGAATAGTTCTTGAGTTGTTCGAATAAGTCGACAGTTTCAACTACCAAACGGCTAGTTTTTTGAATTCTTTTCATCTCTATCCACTCTCTAACTTCTATAAACAACCCTCTTTCGTGATTATCTTCATAAGAACACTTAGAACACTTTGAAGAACATATCCTTTGAATATCCAAAGAGATTCTACTCAATCCCCTCCTTATATCCAAGCAAGGCAATTGTTTTGATTGCTAAATCATTTCTTGCTTGAGTTTTTCCTCATTGCTTGAGTCTTTGAGAGATATTGCCATATTCTAAAGGACTTCATTGTATTTGCAACAATCTACTCCGTGTTGGGAGAATTACTCGGTTGC